ACATGCAATGTCCGATCTGCCCCAAACTTCACGTTTGATAAGAGTACTGGCCAGAACACATCTTAAGGCCAATATTCAATATGCACCAAACATCACATGTTTAGTAAGAATACTGGCCTGAAGACATCTACACATCAATGTTCAGTAATAATTTTAGCGCCACCTGTTGGCAACAAGATATGCCATGCTTTACACTAACTCAAACATACCATGTTCAATCTGCACCAGACTTCACATGTTTAATAAAAGTGCTGGCCTGAAGACATCTACATGCCAACATCCAGTTATAATCATAGCGCCACCAGCTGGCAGCAGGAAGTTTGGCACATATAAATGACTTTGACATATTCCTCCTATATTTACCACTTATTGCATATTGCCCACTGATTGCTGTTTTCCTAAAGCCACCGGGTGGCGGTGAGCCCGGGTGCGAGGGCCCGTTCATTGCTGCTTGCAGCTTTAATTTAAGATGTAATTTATTCCTTTGATGGCAAAGCTGTATTTTCATTAATCATTTCTCCAGTCTTCAGTGTGACATGATCCTTCAGAAATCACTTTTTCTGATTTATTGATTTGGTGCTCAAAAACATTTCTGATAATTATCAATGTTTTTTTGATTAATAAAAGTTCAAAAAGCATTTATTTTGAAATAGAAATATTTTGTAACATTCTAAATGCCTTTACTGTCATTTGTATCAATTTAATGCATTGTGGCTGAATAAAATCATTAATATCTTTCTTTCAAAAGCTTACTGACCCCAACTTTTTGAACGGTAGTGTGCATAAAGAATATGACATCCAGTTGCCCTACATAACATAAGTATCTTTAAGGGATAGTTCATCCAAAAATGACAATTCTTTCGTCATTTATTCACCCTTATGGCTTTCAAAACACATATGACTTTATTTCTTCAGCAGAACATGAAGGAATAATAATAATTGTGGGTGAACTGCTTTAACAACTAAAATTAGTTGTTTACCTTTTAATGTAAATTCTATCAATTACATTAATAATTGCAGTTAAAATATCAAGGGTAATAATCAACAGGGAAATAATGTAGTAAAAGTGTAGCCCTGATTTGTACATGTACGAAAATCGGTACACACATGTAACACACCAATACCTATAAAAAAGTCTCTTAGTACAAAATCCGAATCCCAACAGGAAGTCGGTTATTTTTAATTTTCTATGCAAAATTTGTGTCGTTTTTGCCATTTTCAGGGGTTGTACTTTAACGAACTCCTCATAGAGATTTATTCAGATCAACACCAAAGTTGGTCAGTGTAATCTAAAGGCCTTTGCGATATTAAATTGCGAAGATCTTGAGTTTTCGTTGAAGGGCGTGTCCGTGGCGGCCTGGCAAATTTCGATGTTTCGCCATGAAAAAGGAAGTTGCTATAACTCAGACATACAATGTCCGATCTGCCCCAAATTTCATATGTTTGATAAAAGTCCTGACCTGAACAGATCTACATGCCCATATTCAGTTATAGTCATAGCGCCACCTGCTGACAACAGGAAATGGCTTGTTTTACGCTGTAACGAACTACTCCTAGAAATTTAATGACATTAAAAAATTTTTTTTGGTCAGTCTAATCTAAAGGCCTTTGCGATGTTAAATTGTTACGATCTTGAGTTTTCGTTAAAGGATGTGTCCATGGCGCAGTGACAAATTTCGATGTCTCGCCATGGGAATAAAAGCTTTTGTAACTCAGGCATAAAATGTCCGATCTTCCCCAAACTTCACATGTTTGATAAGAGTCCTGGCCTGAACATATCTGAAGCCCAATTTTCCATTATAATCATAGCGCCACCTGCTGGCAACAGGAAATGGCTTGTTTTAAGCTGTAACAAACTACTCCTAGAAATTTAATGACATCAACAATTTTTTTTGGTCAGTCTAATCTAAAGGCCTTTTCAATGTTAAATTGTGAAGATATTGAGTTTTCGTTAAAGGATGTGTCCATGGCGCCGTGACAAATATTGATGTCTCGCAATGGGACTAATTTTTTTTTAACTCAGGCATAAAATGTCCAATCTTCCCCAAACTTCACATGTTTGATAAGAGTCCTGGCCTGAACACATCTAAAGGCCAATATTCCATCGGGTGTGGCAAAATGGCTCGACAGCACCACCTAAAACATTTCCACGGAGTGCGCGAGCAAAATCCGAAATCTGAAAGCAAGTCGGTTATTTTTAATTTTCTCTGCAAATTTTGTGTCATTTTTGCCATTTTCAGACGTCAGACGTTAACGAACTCCTCCTAGAGATTAATTCAGATGAACACCAAAGTTGTTCAGTATAATCTAAAGGCCTTTGCGATGTTAAATTGCGAAGATCTTGAGTTTTCGTTAAAGGACGTGTCCATGGCGCCGTGACAAATTTCGATGTCTCGCCATGGGAATAGAAGTTGTTGTAACTCAGGCATAAAATGTCAGATCTTCCCCAAACTTCACATGTTCAATAAAAGTCCTGGCCTGAACACATCTGAAGGCCAATATTCCATTATAATCATAGCGCCACCTGCTGGCAACAGGAAATGGCTTGTTTCACACTAACTTAAACATGCTATGTCCAATCTGCACCAAACTTCACATATTTGGAAAGAGTCATGGCCTGAAGACATCTAAAGGCCAATATTCAGTTATAATCATAGCGCCACCTGTTGGCAATAGGACACGTCATGCTTTATACTAACTCAAACATACCATGTTCAATCTGCACCAAATTTCATATGTTTGATAAAAGTGCTGGACTGAAGAAATCTACATGCCAAAATCCAGTTATAGTTATAGCGCCACCAGCTGGCAGCAGGAAGATTGGCACATATAAATGACTTTGACGTATTCCTCCTATATTTACCACTTTAAATGCATAATGCTCGCCGTTCGCTGTTTTACTAAAGCCACCCCATGGCGGTGAGCCCGGGTGCGAGGGCCCGTTCATCGCTGCTTGCAGCTTTAATTTCTTTTGGTCTTTGCTTGAAACAAAAATTGCTTTATTAATCTTAAGAATATCAAAAATACTGTTAATAGAAAGTCTGAGAAATCATGCCACACTGGTAACAACAACAGCACATCTGACAAAAAAAAATGTTTTATTTAGCAGTGATTTTGCAAAATATTGTTACATATGTCCTATATAGCCTATTGTAAAATTTGTTGTATAATTTGTCATAGTCATATAAAATATTTTTACAATTAATATTGGCTAATATAAATGGCTAATATTTTCACATGTTAAGATTATCATAGTTTTATGGTTAAACCATTTTATTAACATTTTATTTTGTTAAACCATTTTATTATTTTTTAGATTTTTAAAATGGAAAAATCTGGGCCTGTGACAAGGGGGAAAAACACATTCTATGCATAAAATAAAATAACTAAAAAAAACTATTAAAGGCATAGTAAAAGGACCAGTCATTGTGATTTTCATGGTCAGTGTGTAAAATTAAAGTATAGCTTGATGCTGTACACAAGCACTGGTAGCATTTAGTTTTGTGCTGCATACACAATATTCTTATACCTTTTTCAGATAACCATGACATTTAATGTCGAACTGTATAAACCAGTGGCGCTGTGCTTCATCCCTCCAGCACATGCTCAAATCTGCAAAGAAAAAAACTCTTTCTGTCAAATTAAATGGAGTTTGAAGTGGGTTACAGGCCTCCAAGTGGCGAGCATTTCGACTTGAACGGTGACAGATTCGCCGCCGCAAAGCAGGATGGGTAAGAATGGGACGCTGAAAGTATGGCGGATGGAGAAGAGCCGTAAGTGCCGCAGAACGAACAATGAGCGCAGATTAACTCATTACTACATTATTACACGGATATGTGGTCGTGTGCAAGCTTGTTTGAACCTTCTCTCGTTTCTTCTTTTTAGGGAAAAGAAAAGAAGGAGAATAGCGGCGCTGACTGAGAAGTTAGTGATGAAATGCTAAGAGCTGGCTGCAGGTTTGAGGATTGCTCAGCATAGGGACTGTGAAAATTAATCCTGCATTTGACTTGTAAACAAAGCGGAGAAAGTAACAAGAATCTAATGATTAATCGGATTTTAATTTGTGAAGGGCAAGATATTAGCAGCACACATAGCATAGAAGTGTTACGCTGCTAGGCTTGTTAATAACTTTCAAGACACCTAATGATATTTAGCATTACTCTATGTCGTGCAGTAATGGTCTTCGTTATGTCTGGTCTGTGCTCCGACAGAACTGTCATTATCACTTTAATTACGTCTGAGCTTTAGCTGTGATGTTCTTATTGTCGCAATCTTTTCGATATAAAACTCTTAAACCATGTCAAGTGTTATTCTAGTAAGTTCCAGTTTTTTATTTACTGTGCTGCATGGGCTACAAGTAAGAATACTGTATCGACAGCACTTAATAGCTAATTGACAGATAAACTGTTCAGAAACCTCGGCATTTTGAAACATCTGCTTCACAATTAAAACAATGCGAGTCAAATGTTTGAAGATTCATGACTGGAGTGCAAAAAAGATTTATAGAGATAACTTTTATCAAACATTTAATTGAGAAATCAGAGCCATATATATATTTTTTCTTTATTTTGGGTTGTTTAGTGTAGGTAATTATTGTTTTAAATTCTGGTGGTTGTTGCATGTATCTTAAGTATATTTTGGTATTTTTTCATTTTGTTTTTTGCTAGCATGGCAGTTGAAGGTTGCAGTATTGGTGACTGGGATGGCCGCTGGAGTCATGTGCAGAAGTTCCTGGAGAGAACTGGCCCCTTCACACACCCAGACTTTGAACCTAGTGAGGAGGTGAGAAAAAAATTGGACAATTTTGCTTGCTTTTTTAGTACTTTTATATTATTTAGTTAGTAATATATATATATTTTTTTCCTTTTTTTTTTTTTTTT